CCGTTTCTCCCATTCTAGATACGCATCAGGATCATTCTTTCCTTGAAAAGATGGAATCTTCATCTTGATGTTGCCAAGCTCATCATCTTCTCGACGTCTAAATCCTCGGCGTCCGTTTCTCCTCTCAAATCTGGCATCTCGATTATCTTCTGTATCAGACACATATGCATCATCAAATTGCCGCTGCCATCTAGGTTGTGCCCTAGGCTCCTCTCGCTGATTTTGTGGCCTCCCTCGTGGTGGCTCTCGGTCATCTTCAAGTCTCGTCTCACATCTTGTAACTCGGTTGCTAAGTGCTTCAATTTGTAAACTCAATTGCTGGATGCCTGCTAGAATTACATTATCCCTTGGATGAGTGCGATCCTCCCTTTGATTCACACTTCCCTGGCCTGAGCCTGACAATTTTTTTTTTTAACCTGCAAGAAAATGTTAGAGATAAAAAGAAATCTCACTAGTCACTCCCTCACGTTTTCTGCTCAAAGTGTTTGTCACTCCTCTCGTGTTTAACTCAATTTCGGCTTTTTTCTTCCCTCAATTAAACTCACACACTCTTGCCTTTTACCTCTCGTTTTCTTCTAGCAAGCTCTTTTTTTCAGACTTGAATCCAGTCTCACAAGCTCCTCACAACAATCGATAAACCACCAAGCAAGATCAAATTCAGCAATATACCGCTCAACTCAGCAATTCAGCAAATTTTCGCTAAATTCGGATTCAGATTTAATTTATGCTACTGAGTTTTATTTTATTTTTTCTATTCGGTCCAACTATCAATGATAAAAAAAAACGAGTCGTCCTCTTGAATGTTTTTTTTTTGCCGAAATTTTTTTTTTTTTCGATTTTTTTTTTTTTTTATTTTTTTTTTTGGCTTTTTTTTTTTTGCCGATTTTTTTTTTTGGCTTTTTTTTTTTTTGACGAACTCAAGTACAATATAAAAAAAAAACAACTAGGACCGAAAACCCTAAATCAAAGTTGAAATCACAGCAAGAACAAATTCAAAACCCTAATTCGATTAATAACGAAACCCTAGTTTCTATAAACCCTAGATTGATGAATGAAAAGCAGTAAAAGTAGGATAACTAGACCTTGTAGAACCAGCTCTGATACCAGATGATATGAATCTGTGCGGAAGATGATCGTTCTACGAAGATCTGTGAGTTACGAATTGCTGACCTCAACCCCCAATCGAACCTGTGATTGGTAATCTCGGTATGAATGCGACCTATTGACGAACCTGTGTCAACCAATCCACGCTATAACGCCACGAACAAGAGAATTCGCGATCTTGCTCGATAAGTTGAATTCGATCGCCACAAGGGAGCCTTGATAAGATCTAGTCCTCAAGAGAACTCAAGAAGAAAACTTCTCTGTATAAAATTCTGCCTCCTCTCTTAGAAATCTATAAGCAACCTTATATAGGGTGCTAACCCTAATCCTAATCCTACTAGGATTAAAATTACAAAAATAACCTTAATTGCTAAAATTCGTCCAAAAATGAAAAAAGGCCTAAAAGTTCATCTAAACGACTCTAAATCGCTAAAAAACATCATCAATCACTACTAAAGTAGTGAGTATTGATCAGCGGCCCGTTTCCAAGCGTCCATCCAAATTTGAGCCAATTCGGTGTTCGTCAATTCTAAACTCCTTCGGAATTCGCTGGACCAAGAGTAATCATGTTGCGCCAAGGAGCTTCAGAATCTTCAAGTCTCGAATCCAGATTGTCTCCATTCCAAATATCTTGAACCATGATATCGACAGCTTGTTTGAATTCCTTCGCTCTCGCTCGAGTGATCGGGCCTAGCGGATAGAATAACGGGTCCCTAGCACCTCCTCCTCGATAGGGTTCGATGTCCACATCAATTTCCCTCTTTAGTAGCTACGGTTTTGCCAAAAGTCGGTGCCCATCTAGGTTTGGCGTCCTCAGCAACATCATCGTATAATGACAACACCACCAATAGATTGAAAGAGCACAAATAATGCATTGTAAATCCCAAATCTATATCTAGATCGAGAATGAAAAGCATATAAATATAGATCTAACTCGAGATCGAGAGAAAAGAACTGCAAAATAAATATCAGTCAATCACAAAATCAATTCCAGACAAGCCCACTGTTGAACACGGTAGGAGAAGAGCTTCGTAGACTTGTGGAGCGCTCAACTTTTAGGAACAAGCACCTAAAGCAAAAGCAAGCGAGCAGATTCTTCCAAGGAGCTCGCACTTTGATCTTCAGAGCTCATAGGGACAAAACTTTCCACCTGTGGAGGAAGTCAACAACGTCTTCCACAAAATCAACGAAGAAATCTTGAAGGAGTCTTGAAGATGAAGAGATAAGGAGATAGAGAGGAAGAGGAAGAGGAAGAGGAAAAGGCATCCCTCAGGAGCTTAAGAGAGGCTGGCGGCTAGGAAACAGGGGAAAGAGAGGAAACCCTAAAAGAAGGGGGTTGCATGTAACTTCGGGTTTGGATTGATTGGTTTTGACCTCCATCTGGTTAAGAGGCTCCTGTGTAGATTCAAACTAGTCTTTGTATTTTTATGTAGCGTAATATCTTTGTCCCTGACCTGAAAGTTAACTCCATCTGGGAAGTCTACTATTGGGTGTAAATCGATACGAGAATGGAGTGAAAATACAGCTCAACTGCAGAGGTAAAACAGGGAAGATGATGACTAATACAGTCTTCAAAAAGAGGAAAAGGATCGACGAGAGCGTCAATGCAACTAGGACTCGTGGCTTTTCTTCCTTCTTGCGCTTCCCTCCGGTTGGACAAAGGAGATGGATGATCAAAGAGAAGCGAGGAGGCTCGCTTGCTTGTCTCCGGTCTCAGGAAACTTCCGTGGAGAAGACTAAATTGAATTTCTCATTTTGACAACTGATCGCAAACACGAATTGAGATTTCTGAGAGAAATAACATGAACAAATCCTAAAATTTAGGGCAAATGTGTTTCTCAATTCAAAGGGAGAGAGAGGAACTGTGGAGGAATGGAGCTTTCAAATGGAGCAAATGAAGCAAATGAGGGAGAGACAGAACCCAAACAAAAGGCTCATTCGTGGCTCTCTTTCTCTGTTACTCCACGCTCAAAACTCCATGGCTCCATGGCTCCATGCCCAATAGACATTGTTTTGCTGCTTGTAAGCCACGTCAGGGCCGTTCACATTCCTTCACCCACGCCTTTAACGATGTTTTCTGTTGAAATCTTAACGGAAGGTAAATATGTCAGATAGTTATACGTTTAGAATTTTAAGTATCACAAAAAAAACTTTAGGGTAAATGTCACAATGGGTATAGTTTTAAGGGTTAATACCACAAAAAACCCTAAACTGGTACACTTGTGACACATTTACCCCAAACTATTTTTTTGACCATAAAAAACCCTAAACTGGTACACTTGTGACAATTTTATCCCGAACATACCACAAAAAACCCAGAACTGGTACACATGTGACAATTTTACCCCAACTAATTTTTAATATTATTTTTTGAATTTTTTTGAATTTTTTCCTTTTCTTTTCTTTTCTTTTTTCTTCACTTCAACCTCTGGCCGGTCGCCGGTCCGGCGACCGGCCAGAGGCGGAAGCCGGCGAGGGCCGCCCTCGCTCGACTCGGCATGGGCGACCCTCGCCGGATCTAGCGAGGGCGTGCCACTGCCGGCGTCCGCGAGGCCGCCCTCGCTCGACGCCGGCGAGGGCCGCCTCGCCCAGGCTCGAGCGAGGGCCGTCCTTGCCCAGCCCAGGGCGGTGCCTCGCCGGCCCTGGCGAGGGTAGCCCTCGCCCGACGCAGCGAGGGTCGCCACTCGCCTAAGTCGGGCGAGGGTCGCCCACTGGGCGGCGAGGGACCGCTCGCCCGCGGCGAGGCGCGACCCTCGCCGACGCAGCGAGTGAGGCGACCCTCGCCCGATCTGCGAGGCGACCTCGCATGCGATACAACGAGTCGCCCTCGCCCGGAACGCCCGGCGAGGCGGCCCCGCCCGACGCAAGCTAGGGCGGTCACTGCGCGGATACGCGAGGACGGCCTCGCCGCAGCGGCGAGCGGCCTCGCCGAATCTGCGGCGAGGGCGACCTCGCCGGATCGGCGAGGACGGCCTCGCTCGCCGACAGCACGCGGGCGGCCTCGCCGACTTCCGCCTCTGGCCGTCAGCCGGGCCGTGACCAAGGCTTTCAAAAGGTTGAAGATAAAGAAAAAAATAAATAAAAGGAAAAAAATAAATAAAAATTCGAAAAAAATAAAAAATAATATTAAAATTTTAATTCAGGGTAAAATTGTCACAAATGTACCAGTTTTGGGTTTTTGATGGTCAAAAAAATAGTTCGAGGTAAAATTGTCACAGGTGTACCAGTTTGGGCTTTTTTATGGTCAAAAAAATAGTTTGGGGTAAATGTGTCACAAGTGTACCAGTTTAGGGTTTTTCGTGGTATTAACCCTAGTTTTAAATATGTCACAATGGATATAGTTTAAGTTTTTTGGTGACTTTTTTTTTTTTGAAATTAGTATTTTAGATTGTGGTAGACAACAAAGAGGAAATGGGAGGAAGTAATTACTCAGGCCTTTTATTTCTCTCCAAAAGTGGAGGGAAATGGCTTCGTGATAACATTTTTCCAATTTTACCCTTCACTTCTCTTCAAAAGGAGATTAAGGCGAAGGATATTTTTGTCAATCCAAACTCTATTTCCCTCATATTAACGTGCATCCAAACAAGGTGGAGGAAAATAAAATTTCTTTTTCCTAATCTTTTCCCTGTAATATTCAGAAAATTATTATTAAAAAAAATCCTGTACGAGAATATGTCAACATTCGAGTATCTTAAATTTTAGTGAGGTTCAGATATTAGAAAAATTAATGTTCGTAAGCCGTAAGATTTTGATTAAATAAATAATAAAAAAATAAAATTGAAAACATACAGGTCTATAATCAGGTAAAACAAATTGTTTTAGACCCGGCCCGGATTGGTAACCCGAAAACCCGGCGATTCAAGCGAAGATCGGAGATTAAAACTTCTACCAAAACCTCGGCTAGAATCCACCTCCTCTCTTCTCCCTCCCTCTTCATGGCGGCCGCAGCGGTGGCGGAGACTCGGAAGCCGCCGCGCCCCGGCGGCGGCGGGTACCGGGCACACGGCCTCACCGAGGAGGAAGCTCGCGTGAGGGCCATCGGCGAGATCGTGAGCTCCATGGTGGACCTCTCTCGCAAGGGCCAGACCGTCGACCTCAACGCCCTCAAGTCCGCCGCGTGCCGCCGGTACGGCCTCGCCCGGGCCCCGAAGCTCGTGGAGATGATCGCGGCGCTCCCGGAGTCCGACCGCGACGCCCTCCTCCCGAAGCTCAAGGCCAAGCCCGTCCGCACCGCCTCCGGCATCGCCGTCGTGGCCGTCATGTCGAAGCCGCACCGGTGCCCCCACATCGCGACGACGGGGAACATATGCGTGTATTGTCCCGGGGGACCCGACTCGGATTTCGAGTACAGCACGCAGTCTTACACTGGTTACGAGCCAACAAGCATGCGTGCGATTAGGGCTAGGTGAGCGCGTCATGGTTTCGGCCCGTCATGTTCAAGTTGTTATTTTTATCTGAGTGCTTATGGTCCGTGATCATTTCATCATTCGTACTATCAATCAGAGCAGTGTAATTCGTTCTTATAGTTGTTGGGTGCTGTGTTCTGCATTCCAAAATTGTGAAGATTGTAGACTAGTTAAAAAGGAGGAAAAACTATGAGATTGTAGAGTGAGTGTGGGGTACTGCACTCTGCACCACCCTTTTGCGAAACTGTGGACCTTATACCTTTTGATGTGGGTTTTTAGGTATAATCCGTATGTCCAAGCCAGGGGTAGGATAGATCAGCTTAAGCGGCTGGGTCACAGCGTTGATAAGGTTCGTTTGTGGGCTCTGTTAAATTTCATTGTCCCATTTGTAGTTGTGAAAGTTCCCATTTGGTGTTCTGTTAAGGCCTTGTTTTGGGTTTCAGGTAGAGTTCATATTGATGGGCGGCACTTTCATGTCTCTACCAGCGGATTATCGTGATTACTTCATCAGGAATCTTCATGATGCTTTATCAGGACATACTTCAGCCAATGTTGAAGAGGCAGTCACCTACTCAGAGCACAGTGCGGTAAAGTGCATCGGCATGACCATTGAAACGTGAGTTACTGATTACTTTGAGAAATCAATCGTGTCACTGCTTGAGTGAGGTCAATTTGTTTCAGTAATTTGTTTAGGTCCTGAAATTTCAATGCCAAGAACATTCATTGCCTCCTACAGAAGTAGAAAGCTCCTTCTAGTTATCATTTGAGGGCATGGTGCTGTAGCCTCGAGCTCTTTTTCTGATAGCAAGTTTTTAACTAGTCAGGATCAACTACTAGGCATAAAGAGATGCTGAGGATTTGGAAAGGGGTAATTGACAATCTTTTACATCCTTATAGTATAATTTCTTTGTGCTTCTTTGCTAATGCATCTAAAAATAGAGAGGGCAGTATGGTTAGGATAATTTAAGGGTCAATGAACAGCTATTTAGTGGAGGTTTTTTTTTTCCATTTTATAGTTACTAATAATTTGTTTTACCTACTTTTCCTTCTGCAATGTGAGTTTCTCGAAGTGAACTATGCCTGTTTTTGCTCCTTTTTCTTCTGTAGAAAGAATTCTCTCTTCATGGTAGAAATGTCCATTTTAGCTGTACGAATGTAATAAATCTTCTTTCCTACCCTCTCTGTCAGGAGACCTGATTATTGCCTTGGACCCCATTTGAGGCAAATGCTTTCCTATGGCTGTACACGACTGGAAATTGGGGTCCAGAGCACTTATGAGGATGTTGCACGTGACACTAATAGAGGTCACACCGTTGCCGCTGTGGCTGATTGTTTTTGCTTGGCAAAGGATGCTGGTTTTAAGGTGCACAATCATGAATTTTATCACTTCATTATGTAATACTTGTGTTGGCTTCACTGATAAAAAGACAAGCAAGTTGATACTTAATGTTGCGAGAAGATAACGTTTGATAATCCTAGAGGACTTTGGTTTGAAGAGTTGACTTCAATGAATCAATTGTATCCATGGAACCTGTCAGCATTTCACCACACTGGGCTTGGACTACTTTAGTATTTCTTTTCACGCTGCCTTTGTGCTTCTTCTATAGGTTGTTGCTCACATGATGCCGGATCTCCCTAATGTGGGGGTTGAGAGGGACTTAGAAAGTTTCCGGGAGTTCTTCGAAAGCCCCCTATTTAGAGCAGATGGACTTAAAATATATCCTACCCTTGTGATTCGTGGAACTGGGTTGTATGAACTTTGGAAAACTGGCAGGTGTGATCTCTCTCTCTCTCTCTCTCTCTCTCTCTCTCTCTCTCTCTCTCTCTCTCTCTCTCTCTCTCTCCCCCCTGGGATTCCGGCATTGCTGAATCTGGTTTACCACTATCGAAATGGTTTACTTGTTGGCCTGTGGAATATATATTGTTAAAGAGAGTGATTCTTAGAATTTTATGTGTGTTCTATAGTCAAGTTCTAGTTATAGTCTGCATGCATTTCAGGTATAGAAATTACCCACCTGAGCAACTTGTGGATATTGTCGCAAGAATCCTGGCAATGGTGCCACCTTGGACACGTGTCTATAGAGTTCAACGTGATATTCCCATGCCTTTAGTCACTTCCGGTGTTGAGAAAGGAAACCTTCGTGAATTAGCTCTTGCCAGAATGGATGATTTAGGCTTGAAGTGCCGTGATGTACGAACTCGTGAAGCTGGAATACAGGTAACTGGAGAAGTCCATGCTTGTATGGAATGTTTTATTTATGGGCTGGAGTAACAACAATTGGAATTTATAAAGTTTGTCTGTGATTGGTAAAGGACATACACCATAACATCAAGCCAGAAGAAGTTGAGCTTGTTCGACGTGATTATTCAGCAAATGAAGGTTGGGAGACATTTTTATCGTACGAAGATACACACCAGGTCTCTCTCTCTCTCTCTCTCTCTCTCTCTCTCTCTCTCACACACACACACACACACACAGAAAATAGAAAAAACAAACAGAGACAAATGCATATACTTAATCATGTGTGTGCGTGCAAACAAATGCGTATCCATAATCATGTGTGCGCGCGTGCAAACAAGTGCATGCACATAAGCATCCGTGCCAACCAATTCATATACATAATCATGTGTGTGCATGCAAACAAATGTTGATCTCTGGCAGTAGTTGATAGCTGCTTTGCCATGAAGCAAGTCATATTCTTATACACACTTAGAAAATTGATAATGCTTAGAAAAAAGAGATATGCTTCAGTTTTTGTTGTGCACATGATACTGATTTAAAACCACAAGATTTAGGGTAATCTGCAGAGACTGATATACTTTGAATATTGAGATGGCAGAATACTCTCTTATCTGCTAGCAATGAATTCTAAATTGCATTTGTTACATTAACAATGGGGCCTATGGTATACTTAAACCATTAAATACCTTCTTTCAATACAACTCAGGATATACTCGTTGGTTTGTTGCGCTTGCGGAAGTGTGGACGGAACACTACTTGCCCTGAGCTATTAGGGAAGTGCTCTATTGTTCGTGAGCTTCATGTGTATGGAACTGCTGTTCCAGTTCACGGACGTGACACCGAGAAACTGCAACACCAGGTAACCCCATGTCTACTAAAGGATGAGAAAGAATGACAGTATTAGCATAAAAACTTGGATGCCACTTTATGTGCCTTGGGACGGATGACAATATTGCATGACAACAACATTTGACATTTATCCATGGTGCAATTATTACAGGGTTATGGTACACTTCTGATGGAGGAAGCTGAACGAATCACTCGTAGGGAGCATAGATCGACGAAAATAGCAGTCATATCCGGTGTCGGAACTCGCCATTACTACAGGAAATTGGGCTATGAGCTTGAAGGGCCTTACATGGTGAAGTACCTCGAGTGACAAATTTTGTAGAATGTGTGTTGAGTTGCATTAGATAGCATTGATTTAATCATCAATTTGTATACTGGCGTGAGGCTATGATTTATGAATATGTTAAATCGCAAAAGAAACCATCTATTTTCCTTTCTTTAGTGAGATCCATGCCCAAATTTTTTTTACAGGGCCTGCGTGACTCTGCTTCCACAATCAGACTGATGCATTCTCTTGTACAACATAGTCTAGCAAATCCTTCCCTTCTCAGTTACTCTTCTGCACTGTTCAGCTGACCTATTAACTGATGTGAAAACTATGTCGAAGGCAATGATGGCTCTGTATATTCCTGCACAAGAAAAACGCTGCAAGTAAAATAGTCTTGCCAATGCGAGAATCGGACAGAAAATCGATGCTCGAGAATATGAAGTTGCATACTCTAGATTGGAATTAATATACACTACCGAATTGTGGATCTTGGACTATTTCTAAGGAGCTGCGGTTCACGTATCCAAGACCTTTTGCAGTTGTTGGAGCGGCAACTAGAAAAGCAGTGAGGTGGATCCATACCACAAGAAACTCAGTAGACAAAGTCAATCACAACATGTTTCGTATGCGAATTCGGTCTTCTCTGTGAAATGCAGTTCAGATTCCTCTTGGTCGTATTGTAATCAGCGGAAGCTATCAGAACTAGTTTTAGAGAATGTCTTCCAGAAACCATATTACCTTGTTCAATCATATGTTCCGCATTTGATCCGATTGACACTCCATTACAGAGGAAAAATGAAGAGAAGGTCATGAACAGAACAACAACGATGAGGTTGAGATTGCCCCTAGATTTTATTTATAGCTAGGATGATGTCTTTGACGTAGAAACATATTGTCAACTTGGTCTAGGCATCTAGGCATCTCAATACTTCTTCAAACCAAACATTCCTCCCGCTTCTCAGTCCCCTGAAGAGCTCTATCATGGAATGACTAGGAAAGGGACTTTTCGATTCTGATCATATTCAAATCAAAGGTTGGGTCCCCACTCAAACAAAACAAAAGGGACGTTTCTCAAGTCAATTATTTCTTCACCTATAGTGAGGCATTTCCTTGTTCGTTTACTCAACTCCTGCCGTCGAAGTCAACGCGATCTCAAAAGGGCATAAACTTCAAGTCAGACAATTCGGATATCGCTCGTCTAACAGCAGTTTGAATCATATGTTGATCCGTAAATTTACCGTCTCTCTTCAGCTCCATATGTTCAGCCGCGTCTATGCAAAGCCTCCTTATTTCTCCGAACACGCAGCCTCAAGCCTTGATCTGTATATGGGGCATGATCTGTTGAGAGTCATTGTGATCTTGTTCTTTGTCTGTCTCTTTCCAAAATCTTTCCTCTTCGTGCTTTTTCACGCGATGCTCCTGTGTTTCCTTGCTGCCATATACGTGTCCCTCAAATAATACGTTCCGTGAAAGCTTCACCCTTGAATACATTGTCAGTGATCTGATCTCACCAGAGTTTATGGAAGAGGAAGCAGGAGATCTAAAAAACAAGAAGAAGAGACGAAGAGAAGAGAAGCGCAGTCATTTTGACTTCTTTCTACTCAGTTTTCTTCCGATTGTCGACTGTCGACATCAAGATGTTGCATCGTCTGAAAGGTTCGAACATTCTTTGGCTTGATCCTTTGGGTTCGTGCTTTATTCATTTGGATGAAACAAGAGGTCCAGCACATCTTTTTCTAACGATTCGTTTTAGTCATTTCGTCTTGAAATGCTCTAGTCCGTGACGAGATGTTCATTCCGTCGAGGACAAGTTTTGTAGATGTACATGTTGCCAACTCGGTCGGCTTCATCTTTTGGTTTGTGGTGTCAGGACTCGCAGCATTACTCATATTATTAACGTAGAGCACCAACCTTAAGACATGCCAAATGGAATTCCCACGCTACAACTTTTGAATCGACCATTACCATTATTCTTAGCATGGCACACTTAAGCAAAAGGATTTTTACCCTGTTCGCTGAAATTTTTCTAGGTGTATGAGCACGAAGGGACAGTCCATGCTTTAGCCAATCAATCCGTCTATTCGATTTAACAAGAGGGAAAGATTTGCCTTTAATACCACCGCCCGCATGCTGCGTTGGCTGCTATCTTGTCCCCACGAAGAGATCGGAGTTCGAACCCCGGCGTAGTCGTTAGGGATTCTTAAGTGTGGCGCCGTGGTGGTGGGTCTGCGCTAGCGTCACCCAGTTTCCCTCCCGTAGGCCGATGCGGGGGTTCTGGATCATAAAAAAAACAAAAAAAAAAAAAAGATTTGCCTTTAATTTTAAGATTATAATGCTCGCATTACTTCGCTCAGATTTCAGAACTCAGGTCAAGAATGTCTCCACATTTGGTTTGACAAATTACTGGGTACCCATTAATAATAATTGTTGAATGTTAAGACAAGTTTGAATCAAGAGCTTGTCTCTCCTCCTTGAGTCATATTTCCCTACGTATTAGAAAGCAGCAAGGTAACAATAGACATTCTACATCTGCAGGATCATCAAACTAACACTCAGCTTCATAAATTACACACCGTTTTCCTTGGTTGTCTTAATCGCCGATCGCGTAAAGCAGTACATGTAGTGCGTGGCCTGCTAGACTCAAGTCCCCCATGAACACTTGCAAATATATGACACCAGAAGTATATGATACTCCCCTCAAAAGAAATTAAAAGCATGAGTTGAGGACCAACGCTCTAGAAATTAGACATTTTCGACGTAAAGCAGTACATGTAGTGCGTGGCCTGCTAGACTCAAGTCCCCCATGAACACTTGCAAATATATGACACCAGAAGTATATGATACTCCCCCCAAAAGAAATTAAAAGCATGAGTTGAGGACCTACGCTCTAGAAATTAGACATTTTCGATTTAACGTACCAGAACACCAGCACTTGATATCTTCTTCGAGATCTCCAAAACTTGCCACTCTAACAAATAACTTCATCCTACAGTCCAACGTGCAGATCTGCGCCATTGATGACCGTAATTTTGCTGCCACCTTACTAGGTTCCCATTTTTCTTCAGCGAAAAACATTTGTTCCCTCAAACTCCGAATCATGGGGTTTGTGCACGCAGCAATTAACCAAGTGAATATTAGAATCCACCGTAATCTGGGCATGTCATACAAGTGGAGTTGCTATTTTATGAGTAGACTTGTACTCTTCTTCTTTGTCCCTCTCTTTCTTGAACTAGTTTCAGGGCCTTCTTCCTCTTCAGCCTTTTGCTCGGCCTCCAGTATAGCCAGCTAGAAGGCAAGAACCACCAGAAAATTGTAAGTCCTTGTGCAAGTTCAGGGAGGGAATGAACATATACCCATCTAACTAGAGAATGTAAGAGAATTACCTCATCCAGAATCGGTTTAAGCTCCCTGTAACGGATGACAGCAAGATCAAATCCATCCTTTCTGAGCTCCTGCATTTCGGATAGGACCATAGCGTATTTTGTTCTTATTTATTTGGAGAGACCAAGACGAATCAACACTCGCACCAGCAAAATAAAAATTGAACGCACTGCAAGCGCTAAGAGTTACACTTCCTATGTCTGGAGATCGACCATAATTTATCATCTTCTAAATTCACTTTCAATGCCTCAAGAGAAGCTGACACATGTTTAATTTTCTGTCCAGACTTACAGAGATTCAGCGCTTCCATTCACCTTCTGTACACTAATTTAGTGCACATTGGGTGGGGATAGAGGAGGGGGAATGGGGATGTTACCAAAAATGGTGGGTTCAGGAACTGAGTGGTCAGAATTTTTTTTTCTGCTGAACCAGTTTGCCTACAATGCTTTAAATGAGATAGACGACGATGATACCTGCTTCATCTGCCACTAATATCCCTTTGTAAACATGAAAAGACTAGGGAACAAACCTTTCCAGTATGTTGAGTATGCTCATAAGCTGCCATTTGCCAATACATATTTGTACGTTTATAGAAATCCTTTAGGGATTCTCCAGGCTTCACAATAAAACATCAATTAGTTAAAGATGACAATTTAAGATGACAATTTTACCTTCAGAGATGAACTGTTAAAGATAGGAACCTACCACAGGCGTTCTTTGAGAATCTGAAAGCCCAAGGTTGGCTCTGATCTGCTCTATCCTAATTCGCTTCTCCTTCCTACGAAGATTTTTTCCTTCACCCTTTATCATTGCAACAGCATCTCCCACATGAGATGAGGCAGAAGCATCTTTTCTAGCCTTCCCACAGGAACACAAGAAAACATTCATGAGAACAAAAGGAAATCTGCTAAAGTGCCTATAGAGAAATAATTGAGACCAAACAAAAGGCAATAGCACACTTAGAACCCACCCTTTCCCTGCATATTCTGGACATTAATTAAAGGTAGTTAGCTACCAAGATTATACCCTTTATCGTCATTAGCCAAAACTACCACTCACCACCGTGTATCTTTATCACCATTGGTTTACTGTGTTTAGACGCTCCGAACAATTTGACCAAGCAAAGATCTGATTAATAGATTGTATCAATTTGACCTTCACTCGTTACAACAAAGAATGAAGCATCCTTGAGTCTCAAAAAGTAATCGATAGTTTTTTTTTACTGAAAATTCGATAAATCTTCATTTTGACGTGAAATTGATGTAAATGGGGAATAAGCATATAAATGCCAAAAGAGGAAAAGTAAAGTCACCTCTGAAGCATCATCTTCATCACTACCGTCATCCTCATTCTCGCTACTGACATCATCGCTATTAGTTTCATCCTCACTGTCCTCTCCATCTTCATCTTCATCCTCATCCTCATTTTCATCCTCTGAGGCTTCTATCCATTCTGATTCAGATGCCTAAATTGGAAAAGTGAAAATACCATTATAGAAAACAGCATTAAAACACAACTTATTTTTCAAGGAATTTTCCGCTCCACTACTTTTCTGGAAAAGAATGTTGACATTAGCTAATAAGCGAGTTTTATGTTTGAAATACTTCCTATCCATTAGAATACTTATAAAAAGATCACATAAGCATAAAAAAAATTATGGAAATAGAACAAACCGGTATAATGCACTTCCATTCGTCGAGCTTGCTGAGATTGAGGCAGTACAAATCATCAAGAGTAACTTCTTGATCCTTGACCTCCATCATCCCTCCATAAACATATAGAGTATCTTTCCCAACCACCATGCAAGAATTTATGCGTCCACAAGGCTTGACTATCTAAACAATTGCCAGAAGTCAACAGCAATAATTACAGAAACTGTGAAAGTGGTCTGCAGTCAACAGTTCCAGACCTCTGGTAAAGGAGAATGCTGACCACCATTAGCAGGGTGTGCCTGCGGGTTTCTGGCAGAGCTTGCATTTATCCCATGATCACTGACAACCAATTCTGTATCCAAGCAACGTGACACCTCATCCATGTAGCTTTCCATATCACCAGCTTCATCTAAGTATTCCAAATTATCATCCTTTTCTTTTGCTGCAAACTCTGCAGTCTGATTTTTATCATCGACGTCCTCATTGTGGGGTTTTCTATCAGAACTAACTTTTAACTGCAACCAAAAATGTAAGTGTCAACTTTTACTGTACCAAAAGATGTGAATTAATACAGCATGTGATCAAAAAATATTTAACCAAAAGCTCTCAAACCAATAGTGAGATGATAAATTTCATAACCTGAACAAATCCTTATACAGAGGTTATACCTTTTCCTTTGTTGACTTCTCCTTCCGTAGCTCTAAGGGGTACCTGCGAGGCAAGACATATAATGCAATCATACTTTTATCACTCTCTTTCCCTAAAATAGCTGTCAAACTTTAATTGTTGACCACAAAAGAACTTCGGTGACATTTGTGCCAAAAAAGCTTATGTCATTTGAAAAAGAAAAAAAGAAAAAAGTAGTATTACCAACGATGGTTGTCTAATTGAAAACCATAGAGTTCGTTCAAGAATAAGCTCATCATAACATCACCTGCATGCGCAATAAATACAAATAACAAGCGTCAATATCAATCAGAATAGTCAATGCAATATGGTCCTCTGAAGTTTTGTCTAATGACTTCCTCGAACTAATTGCTTCGACCTTTCATGGTATCATCAGTACATATTCGTTAAAAGCTGCCACATTCTACAGACACTGTTCATGGCCCACTTTAAGTCCCAAATAGACGCTTCATTATAATGATGTTATCTCCCCTTAACAGCTAATATAACTGGGATCAATTAGGAAAAATCTGTAGGTTGAAGACCACACTGGAAAAATAGTAGGAGGACCACATTGGAAAAACATTACAGGTTGAGGGAGCAAATCCATTCCTATACCACACACGTTCAATCAAGATATTCATGTATAGTAATGAATAGTAACTGACAATACAGAAAAGGAGACATGAGAAACTTAAAGTCAAACTTCTAAATCACTTGGAAACAATAGTCTGAAAGTACAATCATGGGAAAGCACACAGAATGACATGCAAAAGTATCTGACCTTTAACCTCCATATCAACCACGCCACCAAATAGTAAAGCCCTTTTCTTATGAACACACATGGAAAATCCTGCACGTGGGCCAGGAGGCATTCCGATTTTCTTTACCTGTTAAAAAGCAAAAGGTAAGGTCATGAACTTGAGAGAGAGAGAGAGAGAGAGAGAGAGAGAGAGAGAGAGAGTTATGTTCTTTGTATGAATTAATGAACAGGCACTGCTGCCTTGCTTTCTAAAGGTAATAGAAAACCGGAGAGGCAAGGAAAAAAAGATGTCTGACTTAATGTTGGTTTATGATAATAATAGTGAGAGAGCTAGAAAACTTAAAATATATGAATCTGTCATAATTCACAATTAAAAAAGACAAATCATGCTATGCCCTCATTAAATGAAACACGGAACCAATATGAAGAAAAAGTTCATCTTAGGGAAATGTTTTGCAACCAATAATTTTTATTTGTCAGCACACTAAACGCGAAGCATACTTGATGTCCCAAAGACTGCAGCAACTATAACTAATATAAGACATAAGACAAGATATTGGAAGTATTTTCAAGTACTTAAAATGTTGGCACAAGATGACAAACAATTAGCAGGTCCAAACTCTGACAGCCATAATACATGTAAACGTTACAGTACTGCAAATTTCTAAGTTCTAAGTTCACAGCGTCCTTTGCTACCACAAAATTCTGCGAGCAGTCTGTGAAGTTATTAAAGTAAAAAGAAACACCCTTCTGCAAGTAACTTAGATCTACGGTACTGCAGATGATTCTAACTTTGTAAGTTCACAGCGTCCTTTGCTACCACAAAACTCTGCAAGTCATCTCTAAAGTTTTAATAAAAAAAGAAACAGCCTTCTTTTTCAATTGACGCATCAGTAACATTACAGAGCACAAAATTTTCCTTGTGTATTTCAGGTAATTCGACAGCACAAGTTAGAGGATAGGAACCTTATTCCATTCCCAAGTCCTTGGATCAAGGGACCACATGTCTGCATGAACAATTCCTTTTTCAGAGCTGTTCTTGTCAGTTGAAACTTCCTTTGAGTAGCCACCATACATAAAGATCTGCAATGTGAGCATTTCATTGAATAAGACATGACATTGGTAAACACTCAAGAGCAGTCAATTGTGAACTACTAATGAAGTAACTCAAAACACTGAATCACAGACAACTCAGCAAAACTTTGCAAACCCTGTAATATTATAAGCAGGAGATATGACTTACAGGTCATGCAAAATAGAACATTTGCGAGCAGTATCAGTCAAGCTCTGACTAACATGGTTTGGCCGCGCATGGTAGCATAAAAGAACCCAGAAAGACAACTCGACTTTGTGGAAAAAGTGCTAAGAGTTATTGTTCATTGGAAGAGGAAGTGCTCAAAGTCAACAGATAAGATTTGCTTATTAATCATTGTAATTGGCATCACTAGTCATTTGGTTCTTGGCCTATTTAATCAAGATTTAGTCAGAATCCTTAATCCCACATAAGAAAACTTAACAAAAGCTGATGCAATTGGTGTCTTTTATCCCTCACAGCAAGTCTTTAGGAATCATTTCTTGTCAAATGTCCATATCAAACGCCACGTGGACCATTTATGTTCCTGATTTAGCTTCAGAAAAGGAACACTTGAGAATTGGAGCAAAGATTACACGCTCAGTATCAGCAAAGAGAGGAAGATGTCCCAGATGCAATCTTGGAATTATGGGAGATCACTACTACAATTCCATAAACTCCAATCGACAATGTAAAAGCGTGAGTCCATAAGTTATCCTCCAAGCCGTACCAAGTTTCTTGGCATGTAGCCATACCTAACACTTTTCCTGTAATGTGGATTTATATCAAAAGGGAAAAAGACCATGTACTTATAAGAAAAACTACATCAATCAGTATTTTACTGTCCGTTCTGCCATTTAATATTATCCGCCATAAGATACAAAAGAAGACGCATGGTACTTACTCGTCCATTTCTTTGTCTTCAGCATTTTAACTCGTTCATTACTTACTACTGCAGAGGCTTAGTTTACTTCTATTATAATAGTGAAACCTACTTTTAAGAGGCTCGTTCCAAACCGGAAAAGTCTTTGTCATCTTCAGGCGCTTTGACTAGTTCCATTCTTATGATTTCTGCTTGTTAAATCATTCCTATTAATTGCTTCACAAACAACAGTGACTCCAAACATTTTTATTTTTAAAAAGGTGAATATTTATTTCTAGAGAAAACTGTTCAAGTACATCGGTAATATACAAAAACCAAGTAAAAGAGACTAGCAAGACAAAACTAACTCAACAAAAAACAAAATAAAACATGAAGTCCGCAAAGGCTCAGAGTTAATCAGTTGACTCCAAATGTTCGGGAAGACCAACTTAGACCGACTAATCTTCTACTTGGAAGTTGTAGCAAAGACTTCATCCTTTTGGGAAATTCAAAAAACGAGAAAAGCTAGTATATATAATTCAACAAAAAATACATCAGCTAGAAACTGAGTTTTGAATCCTTGTATCCTTGAAATTGACTATCACGCCCTTCTGTTGTCAACAACAAATGAAAAGCACCTTTATCAAAAGAACACGGCAATTAATTAATGGAAATTGTTAAATGAACTTCCCCAAACTAGCATGCAACTGGTAGAGTTTGAAAGTAACATTTGCCCCTCAAGTGGCCGTAACCTAAAAACACCTATGAAATACAACTATTCTCTCATGCAGTGACCATAACTTAATAATAGCTGTCTATTACCTCTTCGAAGCATTGAAAATACTTACCTCATCCTGGTGAACAAAAAATTGAAATCCGCTCCGTGCACTTGGCCACATTGATCCAGGCCTGGGCTTTATTTCTTGCCACTGCAACAAAGCAGCCAATTAGCTTTGGATAGAAAGTAAATCGAATTGAAAAGGGACTGCACTGATTAGCCCAACCAATAAAAGCCCAAGCTGTTCACCTTGTACTGATCCAGATCAAAAACAAATAGATCATTATAATACCTGCACAAATAGGGGAGAAATGGAAGTAAGAAGCTTTGCAAACCTTCACATTGTAGAAGCAAGTCTGAAAGGCTGATTAGAAGTCCATAGGATATGGAAAAGGGTAATAATGCTTGGATTCTCCCTGATTTAATCAACTTTCCAGGCCATGAAGAAAAAGATGAAAGACTCAATTTTTTTATATTAATGTAAAGTATGAGGCCAAATGGAAAGTGTACGCCATTCCATCTGCTTTATTAAACTGCAACTTTAGCTGCAGTTATATGTAGCTTTTGCTCAGGAGCCACTACATGTTCAGTTCATACCTAGTTGCCAGAAAAATTAATCCTCATATTTTAAGATCTTCTAATGTTTTTTATAATAAAGAACCACTTCTTCATTCAAAGGCAATATCGTTTCATACAGCTAATTCTCTTAAAAAAAAACCTACAGTTTAGAAGGAGAATCAGTTCATAAACATCAAGACAACAAACTTCCTTTATGGAGAAGGCAAAGAGCTCTTATTATGTGAAAGGACAAGTAGTGTGACATCTCCTCACTGAGGAAACAGTACAACTGATGAACAAGAAGACACAATGTCAAACCAAGCATACAGAAAATAATTTCTCACATCTTTATGAAATCATAAGAGTATAGGACCTCTAATGGTATTGACTAAGAAACCGTCAACAAACCTCACTTCTCTGAGAGTGTCATAGAAGCCACCAAAAACAATGATTTTGTGTTTGTACAAAACCTGAAACAAAGCAAGATGGATAGAAAAGCAGACATGCATGAGGTAACAGGATATAAATATATGTGAAGGATAAAGACAACTATGAGGCCAGTGATGAGATTACCATTCTATGACCTGAACGCGGGCCAGGACAGCCTTTCAGATTAAGTTGTTCCCACTGATTTGTTTTAAGGTCCAACATCCAAAAGTCCTAAAAAGAAAGTTCGATTGTAGATCGACATTATTCACAAAACTCCCACATAATATCTCGGTTGCAATATGCAGAAGAATCTGTGATGGTTTTGGCATAAACAAAGCCGCATGTGTGTTACCTTATAGTGGTGGAAGCGTTCTTGATTTGGGGAGGTAAATTCACCACCTAACAACAAGTAGCCTAATTTATTTGTGGGATACAACGGATATTGCACTGGCAAGTAAACACCGGTGGAGGAAGACTGACAAGCTCACCAAATATATACAGATAATTTTTCCAAGCAACAGACTGATGAGCACTGCGAGGAGGCGGACTATTGGGACTGGAGATCAACTTCCATGCCTGCTTCTCCACGTCATACCGGTAAAGATCACCGTAGACAAAAGTCTGTGCCATTTGAAACCAGGGTGACAAAAAATGAGCCGAGTTCGCAGTCTAAACATAAGTACTCCATCTACCATTTTCAACGCCTCACCTTGGTGCCATTGTAAAATTCACCACCATAAAGAATTAGTTCTGTGTCTTTCAAAGGATTCAGAGCCATCTACAGGAGTTAACAGGACCATTAGAAAAACTAATCAATCACATAATTCAGGCAAGCCCCCATAAAGGGCAGTAACAAAATGGTGTGCAGTGAGAGCTGATGAAGAGGGTATTACCGTGCAATTAGAACGCGGAGAAGGCGCAGGTACATTCTCCTCAACGTGGACCTCCTTCTTCTTCGCTTCCTCTTTTTGTATACTTAGCTGGTCAGTGGGGGTGCATACAAGTCAATTCGAGCTCAAGGAAGGAGAAAGCAGCCATGTCTAATTCTAAATCAAGAACAGATTGGCCCCACGACAGACGGTAAGAAATTCTATTGCAGCTTCTAGCTTAAATCAATAGATGTTTCGATCAAGTCTGTGCTAACCGCAGAAAGGTTGATCCCATCAATTATCATCGTTATCTAATGGAAACAATTGAATTCTCAGACCACTCTTGATGCACAACAAGACTCAGTTTTGTCACTTTTTCTGTGAAACAGGGGATAGACAGTGACATGGGTATTGCTCAATTCTAAGTATCAAACAACAAAAAAAAGGTTTTACAATGAACTGTATCGTCCCAACAGATAACCATCCAGCGAGAACAGTTAAAGCAGAAGCATCGTACGAGGATGGCATCGATGTCGTCTTCAGGGGAGATCTTCTTGTTCTCCCTGCGAGCTCTCTTCTCCTCCGCTTTCGCGGTTTTCCTCTCCGTCTTCTCCTTGCCTTTTCCTGGCTTCTTCGCCTTCTTCCCCATTCTTCTCTCTCTCTCTCTCTCCCTCCTTCAGTTCACCGTTTCATCGGTCAGACTGGCGGCAACGCACTCGAATGTTGTCGACGACAGGACCAGAGGAGGGAGACGAGGTTTTGCTGCCGCGGAACGACGTCGTCTCCGTTCTCCTCAAGTGTCGTCCTTCTTTTCAAGGGAAATTTCACTTTAGTCCCTGTAGTTTTGGGATCGTTCACTTTTCGGTCCCTGTATTCTATTTTTGTCGCGATTATAACCCTCACGCTATTCTCCGGCGATAATCTACACTTCTCCAATCAAATTTCCGGCGAGTCAACCAGGGGTGAGCTCTCCTACTCTTCGTGAGTCCGTCACCTTCGTGATTCTTTCTCGCTTCCTTCCTTTCTTCCCATGTCTTCCTTTCCCCATCTCTACGGGGCACTCGTCGAGCACCCGACATCTTCTCATTCCGACATTCTCTTCTGCTGCATCCCTTCTTCCTGTGTATACGTACATATTCAGGTGGCCACCTTCAGTACTACACTACATCCTTATCCTGACGTGCACGGCTTTCCCCTTTGTCATTCAACCCGCCCCGCAAGCAAGGTACTTGTTCTCTGTGGCTCTGTTCTGCTCAACCTCTACGTAAACCATGGCTTGCCTAACGGTGAATGCACTCGAATCGCTTCCCATATCACTTACTAATCCGAACTCGATAAGCCAAGTCGTGTATTTAATGTATTCTGGTGGTTGAACTCATGACTCCAGCTTTGGAGGATGCGGGCGAGAAAATGCGTTTCGAAGCTCACCAGATGGTGGCGCGCCTGTTCGACAAAATTCATTCGGACGACAGATGAGAAAAGGCATCTCAAGGCTTATCGGACGCTGGTACGCCTGTTCGACGAGATTCATTCAGACAACATGACCATTCTCAAGCATTTAATCTATGCCAAGGACGACATACAGCCGCTGGTGGACGGTACCACAAAATCAAGGGTGTGGTCCTACTTCCTATTACTTCTTCCTTCCCATTATTTGACTCGATTGGCCTCGATCTAGTCAATATCTATCAACAGAAAGATAACAGCAATTCTCTCTCATTTCGCACCAAACAGGTCAGCCTTGAAGTGCTGAGAAAGAAGACAGTGTTGCTACTAATATCGGATCTTGACATTGCCATTGAAGACATTGAACTTCTCAATCACTTGTACCGGGAGTCTCGTGCAGGGCCGGAGAACCAGTTCGAAATAGTATGGCTTCCAATTGTGGATATCGATCCAAAGTCAGCTGCTTGGGATATGATCCATCAGCAGAAATTCGAGGAGCTGCAGAGTAGCATGAGCTGGTACACTGTCCACCACCCTTCGATCCTTGAACCGGCAGTGATCAAGTACATTAGAGAGGTGTGGCATTTCTCGAAGAGGATCATCATAGTAGCTCTGGATCCACAGGGGAAGTTGGCGAGCCCCAATGCCCTCCACATGATCTGGATATGGGGAAGTTTCGCCTTCCCTTTCACTAAGGAGCGAGAGGAAGCGCTATGGAAGGAGGAGAGTTGGAGACTCGAGTTGATCATCAATGGCTTAGACGACGGGACTATAACAGAATGGGTACAAACTTCATCCCTAACTATCCTTTTTTCCCCCAGAGTTATTCTTAGATATGCATCTACGAAAAAAACACTCTTAAAAGAGGCTCTGGCAAACAAACTTTGATGAAGAAAAAATATTCCAAGATAAAGCATGGACCAGGCTTTATTTTCCTTCGCAAAAAGTAAAGCAGAAGAGGAAGTAAAAGAGGAGTGAGACATTTGATTCTGTAATATATAGCAACGAAGATCTGATTTCATCGCCTAATACTACTGCCTGTGAGACTTAGCACTGCCAGGGACCACTTTTTTCCGTTGAGAAAAATGAATTTCCCAGTATAAAGTAGCCCCAAATTATTTCTGGTGAATATAAGCTGTACCATGTCCTCATGCACTCATATTGCGTGTTAGCTCATTGTGAACAGAGTATTCGTGTTGGTAATTAATATTACCTACTTCTGATCAGATGGAACAAGGATCATATATTTGCCTATTTGGAGGTGAGGACCTTGATTGGATCAGGAACTTCACAAACGTAGCCAAAGGTGTCGCTAAGATTGCAAATATCCCGTTGAGAATGGTTTACGTGGGAAAGAGCAATTCCAAGGAGCAAATGCAGAGAATAGCGACGGTGATCATCTCAGAGAAACTGAGTTACTGCTGGAACGACCCCCTATTCTTCTGGTTCTTTTGGACTAGACTTGAGAGCATGCTCCACTCGAAGTTGCACCACGGGAAGTCCACTGAAAACGACCCGGTAATGCACGAGATCATGACGATACTCAGCTACGACAGGAGCGACCAAGGATGGGCTATTTTCTGCAACGGTGCGGGGCTGGCAATGGCGAGAGCCAAGGGCAACAATGTCTTGGAGAGCATGGAGCAGTTCGACAAGTGGAAGGATGATGCAAATCAGAAGGGTTTTGTTAATGCGCTGCACGACCATCTAAAACAGAAGGAGCTCGAGACTCCGCACCACTGCAGCGGCCTGATCCTGCCCGCGATCGATGGGGGACTCCCAAAGAGGGTCGTGTGCGGGGAGTGCGGCCGTGTGATGGAGTAGTTCAGAATGTACCGCTGCTGCACCGAATAAGCAGAATCTCAACTATGGTTACTTGGATGCGAAGGTATCTTGTGATGTACCATCTTGAGGTTATGCAAGATTTAAATTGTGGAAGATAGCGATGCAGGTTGCGGAGTCCAGTCTGGTGTGGTGTTCATTCAGAGCCTGGCTCTGGCTTTCATGCAATCTATTCGGTTTGTCGCTTTTCTTTTCTTTTCGGTTTCCTTTTTGCTGGCTTCAATGGCGTTCCGTTTCGAAGTGTTCAGTTGACATGTTGATGTATGGCTTGGCTGCAACTTTACTTGTAATCTATGAAGATATGCATCTGTGATGTTCAATCTAGCTGTTTAACTTCTGTTAGTCTTCTATACCTCTGCGTTGGCTTCATTTCAGGACAGGCTACGCCTTGGTTCATGGGATTCGTCACCTCATGTGCTGACCAAAAGACTTTCTATTGCTTCCAGTTTGAGCAGCTGGTGATTGTTAAACAGGCAACTGTTGTAACATTTATACACTTTGAACAAAACCCGTGCCATGCATGGGAAATACGTTATTACACCAAAAGTCAAATTATATTTTTCTTCCAATGTATTATAACATCCTCATTGATGTCTTCTAAACTCATTAATAATATTCTCTTTGGACTATCTTCACCTAAAGAAGGTCTTTTCTGGAAATAAAAAATGGCATGAGTACAATGTTTTGCAATAACATGCTTTAGGTTTCAAATTTGAATAAAAAAAAGGGAAACAGAGAATAGGTGAATAATAAAAGAAAAAGGAAGAACGCAACTTTGTCCGTTTGATCATTCCATTCACCATACACAAGATTAAACAATGCAAGTATTATAACTTTCATACGACATTTACTCGAGTGCTATAACTTTTCAAAAGTGCAATGAGACCATTTGTCTTGATATATAGAGAGATTTCGAAGCATGAAAAATGGATAAAATCAAGCTTCTTGTCTCTTTCCAACTACTCAACGAAGGAGAAGAGATGAGAGATCCGTCGTTTTGACATCAAAGTACAAATGGGCATGTGACTAGCTTCATACAATTTAAAATTAACTGACAGAAAATGTTACAATAAAAATCAAAGTTGGCGAAAAAATTATCAAATAAATATGCAAAGAATGTGGAATCTAAAGTGAAAGACAAGTTAGTCATTTAAATTTTTAGAATTGTTGACAAAGATTCCACAAATTTTTATATTATATCAAAGCCCCTTATTTAGGTGATTTAGGATCCATTTGTTTCACGGAAAACAGTTTCATTATTTTCCAGCATTTGGTTGGCTTAGGAAAAGGAGTCAACGGAAAATATTTTCTTAGTTAATGGAAAACCTATGCTTAAATTTAGGAAAATGATTTCCTCTTTAAAAAACCGGAAAACATTTTCCAAAATACGACTAGATATCAGCACTTGAACCCGAAATTTTACACTTGGGCATGGAAACCCTAATATTAGTTCCTGGTTCTTGGTGTTCAAGACCAGGTCTCCCACGGTCAGGCCTGGGACCCCGACGTCCAGGCCTAGGCCCATCAAGGCTGGGCCCAAAGCCATATACCTGTGTCCAATGCTCCAGCACTCGAGCCCAGATCCATAAAAGCAAAGCTTGGGTCTCCGACACTCGAGCTCTAGTTCTCGGCACTTAGACCCCGGCCCACAAAGGCCTTGCGTGGATCCTCAGCGCTTGGGCTCGGGTTCTTAGTTAATGAAACGTTTGTTTTTATAACAATATTTTTACAAGGAAAATCAAAATTCTAATTCTTTTCTTTCTTTTTCTTTTTCCTTCTTCTTAGGCCAGTCGAGGGGCGAGCCTCACCACAGGCTGGTGAAGCTCGAACATCGCCGGATCTGATGAGGCTCGGCCCTCGCCTATGACCAGTCACAGCCATGGTGACGGCCTAAGAAGAAGGAAAGAGAAACCATGCTTTTAAGCGTTTAGAACGGAAGAGTTGATAGTGCTCCACAAAATTTTACAAACACTTCCTCCAACGCCACTTCGATGCCAACAAATCCCACCTCGCTATCCTCCACCTCCTCCTTCGCTCCACCATTGCCTGATTGAATCTCGACCGTCCAGATTTCCAAGCCCTCATGGACGTCCAAGCTGCCTTGGAAGTCTAATATTTTGGAAATCTAAGTGATTAAGATTTCTACAAAATAGGAAGTCCTTTTCTCACTAGATCGATAATATTTTGGAAATTAATGTGCGGAGTCTCAACACTGATGCGGTGCATATGCAATCACAAGAGATAACTTACTCGTTCATAAACAAGTTGGATGTCATTGGAAAAGATATCTCTCATCTTTTCTTTTTACAACAATTGAAATTGTACTAACAAAATGAATCAAAATCATCTTTACATAGTAAGTAAAGAAATCGTTCCTTATCAAATCAATTTTCTTCACTCTTTCTCTTCACGCGCAAGGCACGTGCTCTTTTTCTATTAAGTTTTTTTAGTAGTTATTCATAGCTTCATTACAAAGTACTAAAGAAGTTTTTGTATCACGCCACTAAACAAAATCCTATAAGGGGCGTGCTTCGAATTTATTGTGGCTATTAGAATCAAAATAATTGGTGTGAACGGTCTGAAATTTTATTGGAGAAATTTTGTCAATGTTGTGGTTAGAATATGTAGAAGTTCTCTACACTTTTTGTAAAAATAATCTCAGCCTAGATATGAGGATTTGAATTGGGAATAAGGATGTCATTGTTGCATACAGTAGCCTTAAATGGACCGTCAATCTAATTGGGCACATTTTTACACGTAACAATCACTGATTTGACATTTCCAAAAGAGTTTAGATTGAAACATAATGAAAGTAACTAAATTTTTCTTGGAAAATGATAGAGGAACTAGTTTTGTTGCTCAAACGAAGTACATGGACCAAAATTCACGGGAAAAATATATAAAAAGTTCTGAACATATTTCCGCTTTTACCAATTCAGTTTCAAACCTTTCAATTTTACCAATTGAATCATAAATATTTTCGCTTCTTGCCAATTGAGTCCTAAACATTTTTCGCTTCTTGCCAATTAAGTCCATCAGGCTAATTCTGGCCAAAAATCGCCGACGTGGACGCCAATCGACCTACATGGCACTCACATGAACAATTTTTAATTATATTTTCATATTTTTCAAATTTTAAATTTTTTTTTCTTCTTTTTTTTCCTCGTTCTTCCTCCAGCCAGCCGGCGAGGTCTGGCCAATGGCCAAGGCCCAGCAACCGGCTGGATGAGGAAGAGGGGGGAGGAAAAGAAAAAAAAATTATTTGAAAAATACTAAAATATTATTTAGAATTGTCCATGTCAGCATCACGTAGGTCGACTGGCGTCTACGTCGGCAATTTCAGGCCAAATAGACTCAATTGGCAAGAAGTGAAAAGGTTTAGGACTCAATTAGTAACAATGAAAGGTTTTGGACTGAAATAGCAAAAATTCAATAGGTTTAGGACTTTTTGGATAATTTTTCAAAAAATTCACTATTGCTAAAAGTACGAATACCGAAAGTGCAATTTATTTCGGAGACTTGTACACTTAAGCGCAACAGGCCAAAGTCGAAGCTGACCCAATAGTTTTGGAGAATTTCAAACAGAAATTTGATAGAAATACTTAATTGCAATCCATTAGGAATAGAATTGCGACAAATCTAATTGTGTAGGGACCAAAAGCGAACTTCTCAAAACATACAGGGCCCTAAGATGTAATTTAAACCCCGTTTACTGTTGCAGTTTCACATTTTAGGACCCGGATTTGCAGAATTACTGAGCATAGTATTAGCATCCCAATGGTCGAAATACAGAAACTTTAAACTTAGGTGCATCATGTGATCTGCATCAACACGAGGTTCTACTTCTAGAATTACTGTACATAGATCCAGCTAGAAGAAGGCATATCCATTACTGCCGAGGCCGATAGAGAGTTCAACGGTGTCCCGACACAACCCGCATCCCTGTTTTAGTCATATAGCTAGGAGCAGTTCATCCGCCGCGCTGTTTCTTGCCGAGCAAGTAGCTAAAGGGAGGGTGACTGAACCGTCCCTTCAGAAACATGCCGGCGATCACCTTGTACATGGCTTCCGTGAGATGGACTCCGTCCCAGTTGATGTACTCCGCGGGACGGGGGCAAAAGTCAGTGGACGGCATGCCGCATGTCGCGAACGGAGTGAAATGATAGGGCTCCCCGGCACCGCAGCATGCCTTGAAAGGCTCCTTGAAGCCATACTTGGCCGGGGTCTTCATGACAGAGCGGTATGCATTCCAGTAATCTGCGTAGACGATCACGGAATCGGGGAATTGCTTCCCGAGGTCAGAAATCTTGGCCTGGAGAGCGGCATTATGGGCGCGGGTTTGGTCGTTCACGCTCTTCACGCAGCCGATGTCGTCCCTGTCGTTCTCGGGGGACAGATACATGGCCAGGGGCAAGCAACCCGACACCGGCAGACCTTGGACCACCATATACTTCACCCCTCGCCTCAGAAGCGACTGCAAAGCAAATGCAGTTAAAATCAGATCATTGTTAAGCTTACCGCATTGGTGACATGGGCATCAGCTTAATACTTGGATGATGCTATCGACATTAATGAACCGTGCTGCGGTCCAGCTATAAGTCCAGGCGCTTGTCAATGCACGTCCATTTTTCCTACAGCAGATGCATTTATGATCACCCCACCTAAGTTGGTTGAACGAGCTATTCGACTCGAGGTTTGCTGTCTGACCCAAAAAGAATATGCTCGGGTTCGATACAGCGGTGTCGCTATGCTCCCTAATTAAGGCGAACAATCAATCCATGGGGTTTAGCACAGTAGACCTGAACAGATATTGCCATACTGGTGAACGTTCATAGGCATGAATGGACGAAACCCGACTCTTGGTCTACGCTCGAACATCTTTTACGGATCATCTCGACGAGATCGGGACCGGCGAATCGCTTGTACAGGGATGGCGCGATTTGATTGCTTCCCTCAACGGTTGACGCTGAGCTAGATCTCTAGCTCCTCTTTAGGACCATGAAGCCCAAAAATGTATACACAGACTCGCGAAATACCACGCTAAATAATGCGACTATAATCCGACACTAACATTAGGAAAAGCTGATTCCAATTAGCTAGTTTAACGTATAAGTTTAGCTCGGGTGCGCAAGCGCCGGAGCCGGAGCACTGAATTATACGTCGAGCTTTATCGACTCTGTCATGGAATTTTCTTCATGCGAAAAACGATCCTGTTCATAAATCTGTGTTTGTTCTGATTGTTAGTTTACCTCCAGAAAAGTGGCGACGGTGTCGATGGCGAGCTTCCGGATGGTGTCGCCGGAAACGGTGGACCCGACGGTGTAGGCATAGTCGTTGACTCCGATCTCGCCCACCCAGACCAGCGCGTCCTCGAGCGCGCCGCCGCACGCCCCGCCTCTCGCCGCCGCCTTGCACCCCTCGCGGCTCTCCAAGTACTTGTTGAACCAGACGAGCTGAGTCAGGATCGACTGGGGCGTTATGTCCAGGCTCAGGTTGTTCCTCACGAAGAACTCGTGGTTGATGGCAGTCGAGCCCGCGACGGCGAAGTTGACGCCGGAGGCATCGTCGGAGGAGGAGGAGGAGATGCTGCGGTAGGGGGGCAGGAAGGGGAGGGAGAGGGACTGGGTCACGAAGTCGATGACGAGGCGGCCGTCGGAGTAGCGGTTGGTGGGGCGGTGGAAGAAGGTGACGCCGTAGGGGGGGTTGGAGACGTGGCCGAAACCGCTGGGGCCGGAGGCGGAGCGGGTGTTGCCGGTGTCGGTGAAGGAGTCCCCGAAGGCGTAGACCTTCTTGAAGGGGCGGGGCTGTGGGCCGGCGGCGGAGGCGGAGGCGGAGGCGGAGGCGGGAGAGAAGAAGAAGAGGGTGGTCAGAATAACGACGGCGAGGGCGGCGAGAACTCTAGAAGAAGAGGAGGAGGACGGCGGCGACATTTTTACCTGTGCTCGCTGCGCAGCTCCGACTGTGAGCACAATCTCCGGCGGAGCGGGGCGGCCTATTTATGTTGCGTTGCGCATTTAATAACCCCTACTGCGCAAATTCTTCCCGCCCCGGTAATAAGTATCCCTCAAAGATTTCTAGCAAAAACAAAAAAAGTATCCCTCAAAGATGTACTTTTACACAGGCATAATTCCAAAAAAAAAATATCAACATTAGATCGAGGGACAATTCTGGTCCGAATTTTTTTTTGTTCCATAAAAAAGCACAAACTTTAGATCGAGGGACAATTCTGGTTCGAACTTTTTTATGTCCCATAAAAAAGCACAAGCTTTAGGTTGAGTGACAATTTCGGCCCTAATTTTTTTTGTCTCTTTAAAAATCACCAACTTTAATCATGATCTCAAATCTGGCCCACTGTTGACTTTCACCATTGTTTGAGAAAGAAGGTTATGGTGATGAGCTTGGCGAATCTTGTCCATGGCGTCTATCGATAGGCGGTGGTCAGTTTCAGATTACGTTTGGCCAAAAAGATTCAATTTGGAGATATTTTTTACTTGTCAGTGAAGTGAAGGAGATGAACAGTTTTACCGTTATTCTTCAAATTGTGACTTAGAGAATAAGACAATAAATATTGCTTTAAATCCAGTTAGCAAGCCACATGGATTTATTGTTAATGTGGAATAGTTAAGTTAGATAATCAATGGTTCTAAGTCAATGGGGCCAGATTTGGGATTTAAATCAAAGTTAGTGCTTTTTTACGAGACAAAAAAAAGTTGGGATCAGAATTGTCTCTCGACCTAAAGTTGGTGCTTTTTTACGGGACAAAAAAAAGTTCGGGCCAAAATTGTCCCTTAACCTAAAGTTTGTGCTTTTTTTTTAATTAACCCCTTTTATATATATGTCTTATGCAAAAACATTATATATAAAATTTTAATATTTAATTGAACGAGATTAAGTTAATGTCCATAATTCACCGCGGGATTAATAGCCTGTTTTGGGCCACAAAAAAAATAAATTGTTTTAGGGTCAATTCCTTTAAGAATTTGTGGCACACAACACAATATTTCTCTTACGGTAACCCAAAAAATGTTATGCCAATAAAACTCATTTTTTTTATATTATTAAACCATCGTCATGTGGGACAAGGCTTTCTGAGTCTACTACATCCCGCAGGTTAATGCTGCTTAAGAATGGCATTTTTTTTTTGTATTAATCGGGTTGGTAAACTGAGTCGATCACAATCATCTATTTCATGAGATCCACATTGATGATTGTGATAAACCCGATCCCAGTGTATCCTACCTAGTCCAACCAAGACTACCCCTCGACAAAAAAATGCTTTCGAGCTTTTTAATTGGAGTGTGTGAGTGACCGGTTGAATTAGTCGAGTGTTCAAAAACTCGAGATATACAACGTCTCTAGCTAAAAGCTTATCGATGGATTTCACTCCATTCTTACGTTTCTCTAAAACGACGTCACGCGGTATGCCAACTATGTTTAGCTCCACGAATTAAGAGAAGTTGTTGGACAATGTGACCTGTGAGCCAGGATCCCAAGTAATGAGCATCTCTGTTTTGGTATGTAATACGCGTGGTGTCATCAGGTGTGATGGCAGTCGAATTTAAATCGCCCTCCGATCGATTACGGACGCAGGATCAGGACGGGGCGATGCGGGGGGGGCGCCCTAGCAAATCAATCGAAGCCACCGTAGCGCCATGAATGATGCGAATTGGGTGGGTGGGGGGGCATCCACTGTGGACCGACCCATGCGACGGACGAATCCCGTTGGCCCGACATAAATCGGGAGGGTGGGGGGACCGCCGCGAATTGAATGCGGGCACGTGTCATAAATGCCGGAGGGGCAGGGATGGTTGAATGTTGATGGGGCTTTCAGTAAAGGTCCCTCCCATTAATGCCGTCCTCGGCAATTGTGTGATGCACCTATCAATCACTCCACCGCCAACTTTTGGTCTGGCGACACGACCGGTGGATGTTTTAATTCACCGCAAGTCGTAAAATTTATTGTGGAGGCCTGATTGAATTTTATAAATATTCCAAAAAATATAATTAAATCTTATATTTAGATTTGTCAAGTGGGTAAATTAGGTCGAGTCGAAAATGGTCCGATTTAAATAGATTCGTTTAATCTGTTTTGACCCATTTTTCATGTAATACAAATCTAATAACTTATACCTGACTCAATTCATGCCTAATTCATACCCGACCCGATCCATATTGATAGAAAACTTCCATATTTGAGTAAACTCGAATCCAAACTGATATGAGAGTGCAGAGCGAGTGAGCGCAAGATTGAATATGGGCGAGAGAGATGAATTGAGTTTAAATACATTGTAAACCTATTTACGACCTATTTAACACTCATGTTATGTTTATATATCAATTTATTACCCATTTAGTGAATATAACTGACTCATTTAAAATCAATTTATTGATATATAGGTTAAGAAATAGGTTTATAACCCATTTTGACAGACTTACCTACACATTATCGAATCGGTTCAATCAAGTCCTTCCGTTAACTCTGTCCCCCTAAATTAACTGAAAATACTTATGTGTCTTGTTTTATTACTTTACAATGATGGGACGCCCACCAAGCATATTGTTAGAGAAAATATTCAAAAATTAACAAAATGCAAACTAAATTAGATTAAAAAAAAAAACTTACGCAACGGTTGTGACTAAACCCTCACCAGCGGCCGCCACCATAGCCGCTGGAAAGGGCCTGCGGAGGTTGCTTAGGCCTTCTCGAAGCCCGACGACCCTCGTCAATCCTTGGAGAGGGCCTGCTGGCCTAGATCCGAGGGAGAGTGCGACCCTTATCCTAGAGGGAGGGTCGCTGAGCCTCACATGGGTCTAAGGAGGCCTCAATTGGGGTGGGCAACTAGAAGGAAGATTGATAATTTTGGAAGACATGTTAACTTTGATAAGATTAGTAATTTTTGTGAATGTCATAAACAAAATCACATTGTCTGCACTTGTCAACGACGGAGTTTTTCCCTAATTTTTATTCATGAAGTAAAAGAGATAAGAAATGATCTTTTTCATCATTTGGGGATTTTTTTTCAAATCCTTTGACACCATTAGAAAACATAATAGACAACGGTTGGATGTGTGTCATGCGTCAAAATTCAATCAGGCAACTTATTCTCAAACACGCACATCATATGTTCAATGATCATCAGAACCAGGTTCCTAGTTGTTATCATCCAATTCACGGATTATCAAATTCAAATAGTACATTAGTTGCCTAAAGAAAGACATACGCGGTATGATTGAAATAGCGAAAGTGCTACAAATGGTCCATGAACTTTGGCCCAATATGCAATATGGTTCATGAACTATTAATTTGTTCAATATGGTCATTGAACTGTAACCCAATGTGCAAACTTTCAATTTGTTTAATGTGATCTCTGGACTTTTGATAAAATAACATTGAACGTTTTTATATAATTCAATGATTAAATTGAACGTTACAAAAAGTCCAAAGACCACATTGAACAAATTGAAAGTTTAGGGACTACATTGAACATTGGGTATAGTTCAAGGACCACATTGCATGTTAGACCAAAGCTCATGGATTATTTATGTCATTATCCCATTGAAATATCTTAAAACAGCACTGGTACTCTCACTACTTCAAAACCTCCCACTTTTTTTTCGCAAATCCAATGTCTCTAAAATAGATTAGGGAAAAAGCCACTAAAAATCTCAAACTATATCCACTGTGATACATTTACCATAAACTTTTTTTGTAACATTAAAAACCCTAAACTATGCCTAGTGTGACACGTTTACTCTAAACTTTTCATTGTGACATAAAAAACCCAAAAAATGTGCATATGTGATACATTTACCATCTACAGAGATTCCATTAGATGACCTTTCAACAAAAACAATATCGTTTTTATTTCACTTAAGTCATTGTGGGCGTCATGTCAACACTATTTGCTTTTTGGTGTTCATGTATGCAAATTTTTATTGACAGAACTTTAACAGAGGGTAAATGTGTCGCACGAGTACAAATTTGGGATTTTTGGTGCTATAAAAAAATTTTAGGGCAAATGTATCACAATAAATATAACTTGGCATTTTTTTGTTCCTTGTATCTAGACCTGTCAAATGGGTGGGTCGGGTCGGGTTTGGGTTGAGTCATAAATGGTCCGACCCAAATTGACCCATTAACCCGTTTATGACCCATTTATGCACAATGCAATTTTCTTGACCCATACCCGACCCGACCTATACCCAACCCATACCCGATTAGACCCATATTATTAAAACACTTTCATATTTAATTAAATATAGGAAAAACCCAAGCTGAAATGAGAGTGCGGAATGAGTGACGGTGAGAGAAATGCGTTGAGTTTAAATCAGTTGTAAACTCATTTATGACCCATTTGCGATCCATTTAACACTAATATAAGACTTCTACCCATTTATGACCCATTTACTAAATATAACTAATCCATTTATGACCCATTTACTAATATATGGGTTAAGAAATGGATTTATGACTCATTTTGACAGGTCTACTTGTATCCAACAAATTACCTAATGAAGTATATCAATAATGATCATATATTAAATACTTCTCTCCCACCTATAAACCCCTACTCTTCTTTCACTGAGTCAGCCTCCTCTTGTCCCATGGAGTCCATCAAGCCCCTTATTCGACATTCCCCATAGGAAGTGAAGGGGCATGTTCAGTCCACCCGCTATGATTAACACCATATTCCACCGAGCTCAAATAGTTTGTAACGGGAAAATTACAAAAAAAGTCCTAAACCTTTTGCAATTGTGCCAATTCAGTCCTAAATCTTTTTTTTTGTCATTTCAGTCCTAAACCTTTTATAATTGTGCCAAATCAGTCCATCCGGCCACTTTTGGCCGGTCGGCGCTAACGTGGCATTATTTTAATATTTTTTTTCCTTCTTCCCCCTGGCCGTTTCGGCCAGGGGGAGGCTCCCCGGCCATGGGGAGGCTGAGCTCGCCCTGCGACGGCGAGCTCGACCTCGCCGTCGCCCATGGCCGGGCAAGGTCGACCTCGCCCATGGCCGGCGAGCC